CTTAAAAACTGAAAAAAAGCACATAAGTTAAGTTAAAAATTTAATTTTGGGATTTTGACCTTTAGAACCTTAAAGTATGCAATTTTAGACGATTTTTCGTCCAAACCGAGCCTCAATATCTTGTTTCGTTCGAAAGATATCGAGGGTCCCAGGTTTTGACTTCCACCCCCCCTAGCGCCCCCCCCCAAAATTTTTTGGTGGTCTGAAAATTTGGGGTAAGAAGCGCTCCAGTATTAGTAACTGATGGACGAAGTTTGAATAAGTTTTAGTGGGGGGGGCGAAAAATGTCGTTTTTGCATACGGCTCTTTCCAAAGATGACGGCAGGAATTACGGTTTTTTCTAAACTCATGGCTGTCACATGCTTTCGACTGTCACAAATAACTGTATTTGATTAGGGAAAATTGTGTGAGACAAATTCGAAAAAATTGGAACCACTCGCGTTTTTAGATTCCAGAGACCTTCCAGAATTGAGAAAACACAACCGCCAGTAGAAATCATAAACTTGATTTTTCGATTTTTTCACCCTGAAATGTCCTCTATTTGAAATTTTCACCCATTAAATAATTTAAGGATTTTCGATCGCTCATCATTTTCCATGTAAAGATCAAAAGGTTGAACTTTAGTGCGAAGTTAATCCCTTTCATCTTTCAGATTTGCATTTAAATAGAATCAACGAAGAAATAATCAAAATGATGATATATTATTTAATGAGTAAAATAAATGCTATCTACAACGAACAAGCGTTCCTCCAAGTTGCCTAGGTACATTTTTACTATACTACTATGGCATCAAGAAGATATTTTCAAAATAGATGATAATAGTCAGTACTTTATATCATTTAAAATGTGACACCCCCAATGAAGTTGATTTTTCATTCGACGCTGGTGTAATCATGTGACAAAGAGCGATTCGAGTAGTGCAAAGGCCCACTGCTCAATGTTTACCATATAAATTCAGTTCACAGCGTATGCAATTCAACGCAAACATGTTATTTTGTCAGTTTGTTTATTTTCTCACTCGCCCGTGCCCAATCACATCTTTATTTGTTTTTTGATTGTCTTGTCCAGGGTTTGATTTACTGTTCGGCGATGATGAGTGTTCCATGGCGGTGGCTGTTATTTTTTGCAACTTACATTTCCACTCTATTTACTTTTATCTCGTGATCGTAAAAGGAGTGAGCATGAAAACAGAATCAATCCGTTATCCCCCATTACTAACTGATGCTCAGTTATACCTACTATGTTATGTCCTGACAGACATGCCAAATATCACGTCACAACCTCCGTATCATTCTTGCTCTACATATCTACTCTGTATAAAAAAGTAAGCACAGGTAGCCCTAATGCTAAAAATCCGAACGGAGAGCGTAGCCCCTAATTGGAGTAAAATTTAACTTTCCACCCCGTATCTGACGAATTGGACGCATTCCTACAGCACTGTCGTGTCATGGAAGAATGGTATAAGTCTTCAGATGTTGTCGAATTTCTTTTGATAAAATATGAATTTTCATGGAAATCTTAATATTTAATTTGAAAAATAGAATGAAATTGTGAATCAACCACTGTACTAATTGCGAGGGGCGTTGGTTCATTTGAAAGGTGTTGTTCTCAATGCTTCGGGAAAACTATAAATTATTTTCTGGGGTTCGTCCCCGATTTTTAAATCCCTAAAAACTCATAAATTGGATGAGGGGAAGTGGGGTTTTTTTGTTTTTTGTTTTTCGGAAAAGTTTTGTTGCTAAGCATCTTACTTTACTCTTTGCTGTCTTTTTATCAGCTGTTCTCATTCAACAATCATCATTAAGTGAGGTTACTTCCAACACTCAACTGCCATCAACTTACATTTTTCTTTTCCCGTGTTTTTTTTTTTTTTACGGTTTTTCATGATTGGTTCCATCTTTTTCCTTTTTCCAATTTTTCCTCATTAAGGCAATAACCTCCAAGTTTTTTTTCTCATTTCCGATCAGAACTTTTCACGCTGTTTCTTTTCGATGTGTATAAATATGTTTATTATTAATTTCCATTTTCATTTCATCCTTTTTCTTCTGATTTATTTTTTTAAACTTAAAAATTGAACTTTTCAGTTATGATTTTGTTAAAATAATAATAATTTTTACTAATTTTAATTTTAAATTTAACAGTTGTTATGAGTGAAATTTTCAATGACCGAAGCGGTCGTCCTCCAAAACGTGGTCGCGTTTTCCAGAATTCTTCGCATGTTCGTTTAGTGAAGCAAGAACTTAACTCTGTTATTAGTATAGAAAATCAAAGTTTCATTTCTTCATTTCGGAAGTATAAAATTGATGATCAGAACTTTGATGAAAATTTTGTTACCAAATTTTCAGACGGTTAAATGAATATAATTTGTCATCATTGTGATGCTCGCCATTTTCAGGGTGAAATGTCCAATGGTCATTTTAATAACTGCTGCCAAAATGGCTTAATTTCTTTACCGAGTGTTCGGACAAATACCGATTTGAAATCATTATTTTTATATTCTCCAAATTTCATAAAGCATATCAGAAATTATAATAGTGCTGTTGCTAAAAAAGAAGCAAAAAAAGAGAAGAGAAGAAGAAGCAAAAAAAGAAAAGACAAAAGGAGGAAAGAAGAAGAGCAAAGTTGTAGGAAATATAGGAAGAAAAGCAGGACAGAAATGGCAAAAGAAGAATCAACAATTTAATCGAAAAAAAAGCAAAGTATTTAAAAAATAAAAAAAGATCTTCTTTAAAATTAGTTTGAAAACAAATGTAAAACCTAAAACATAATTTTGTATGAAGATTAAAACAAAATTTTACTTTAAAGTTTACTAAATAAAATTATAATTTTTGAAAACATTTGTTATATTTATTCTCTCAAAGAAATAATTAGACCGGATTCAAAGACAAAACAGAAAATTAAATGAAAATAAATAATTAAAAAAAAAACATGTGAAAGTGAAAAGTGTACAGGAAAAATAAGGGGCTGCGAAGCAGCCCCATAAGCCCCTAGTCTGATTTTATTTGCGATCAGATTTAGATTTCCTAAAATTTCATGAGAAAATATTCAATCGGAGGAGACTCGGCAACTTACACTGAAAAAAAAATCTCGGTGTATTTACCAAGAAAAGGGTAAAATTACCGAGAATTCAGGGTTCTATTTGATCCCAGCTTTTTCTTGGTAAAATTACCATTTATGGAATTGGTAATTTTACCGAGAAATCTCGGTAAAATTATTGACTTTCTCGGTAATTTTACTGATCCCCGCGGTAAAAACGTCAATTATTTTTATCAACTGTGGTAAAATTACCGAGATAAAATGGCAAAGTTACCGGGAATTGATTACCAATAAAAGTGGTATTCTTACCTGAAAAAAACAGTAAAAATACCGGTTTTCAGGTAAGCTTACCAGTCTGTGTTGGTAAAATTACCAATAATTGGTAATTAAAGTGAGATGGTAAAGGTACCAACGGACCGTGGTAAAAACGCCGAGAATTTTTTTTCAGTGTAGGGTGTTCATGCGGCATTTTTTCTTAGCACGTCAGATCAAGAGTTTCATACGCATAACGTTTCCATTGCATTCTGTTTATTCTTCATTGATGCGCCCAATTCACGAAATGACGAACGCTCGAACCACAGAGGTTCCTCGTGATGTGGAATTTCATGATACAATGAAGCAGCGAGCCCTAACATGATTGTTAGCGTTGTGTCATTATATCGACCACATTCGAATGCATAGCCAAAATTTCCCCTTACCCACAAAACCGCAAACCAATGCGAGCTTTCAGCATTCACGAACGCCCCCATTAGTTTTGTAAATTTGAGATCACGCTTCATATTGTTGTGCAGCCTTTCATCGGCTTCGATAAAAATAGCTTCAGTGTCGTAATTTGCTTTTTGATCCGCAATTTAGAGAGCCTATTAGGCACGCTATGAACATGAATTAAATTCTACTGCAACATTAGTCGAATCTTTGTGGTTGTAGCTGCTGTGATTGGGTTTTTCTCTAGCTACGTATTTGTATCTTTCAGGCGCTCTTCGTTATTTTCTGAAAAATTAGGGGGGAGAGTGTTGGTAAGAGGTTGTCTTACGAATGGAGGGAGGGGTACAAAGTTGCCGTCCAAAACATGAACACTGGAATACCATTCCAAATATTTCAAGAATTTCTTCTTTTTTAAAAAGAAAAAATAGGGGAAAAACAGCGAGAATTGGACCAAGTTAACAGAAAAGAACCAAGCTACATCAGTTATTGCCAAATGTAACTGAGAATAATTTAATTTTTTGCAAGAGAACGCTTGCACGGATTACTGTGAAAATTTTAAAGAATTTTTTGCACTATGCAGAAAAATTGAAATTCGCAGACAAATCCGCACAACCGTTTTCACGTAAAAATTGAATTGCCAGATTAAATTTGGCAAAAGCTGATATGTCTTGATTTCTTTCTGTACGGTCCAATTTATCCATCAAATCATCAGGGTTACCGTATCGCACCACCGAAAACTGACACCGAGAGAAATAATTATTTTTAAGTGCTCGAGTATTCTTTTAACGGCACATTCCGTTCGAAACGAAATTGCGGAGTCTAAACTGGACTTACGGAGATCTCGTTTCGGACGGCAGAACAAGTCCGCCAAAATACCTCACGTAATATTTGAACGGCCCCTCGGAGACTTGGTTCTCTTTTGTTGAATTAGATCCAAATATTTATAGCAATAAAAAAGAGTTCCGCCAGTGGCGTGGCGTGCTTTGCGATATATCGATTGATTTGCCATTTAAACCTATGGAAAGGATCGATAAACAGGGTGTTCGCAGCAAACGCCTCAATAATCGATTCTTTACCATAGGTTTAAATGGCATAACAATCGATAAATCGCAATTCACGCCACGCCACATGAGCTCCGCCGTTGAGCTGGATCCAACTTCGGCCGTTACGACAAGTGCAAAGGACACATAAGACAGGTAGCTTTATATCGGGAGAAATACACTTTTATACAGGGTGTAATCAACTCAAAATTTTATTACCTTGACGCCGTAGTTGGACTCCTCGTAAATGATGGAGACGTAGCTCCACTGCATTTTACGGACCACTTCGACCATGGCCCGGACTTGGTGCTCGTCTGACGGAATGGTGCGACTGAAATACTCGAAACGCTGTTTATTGCTCAGCTCAGGGCTCGTTGAAAAGAAAGAGACCTGCAACACGAAAAATAAGGAACTTTTAAAACGGTGGCGTGTTGTACAATGCGATACGTCACTTGACCTGCCATTGAAAGCTATGGGAAAAGATCGATTAACAGGGCGTCCGCAACAAACACCTTAATAATCGATCTTTTACCATAGCTTCAAAGGGGTACGAAAAAGAAGGAACTTTTAAAACAGTGGCGTGGCGTACTTTGCGATATTTCACTTGATCTGAAATTTAAACCTATGGAAAAGGATCGATTAACAGGGTGTGCAACGAACACCTTAATAATCGATCTTTTACCATAGCTTCAAAGGGGCACGAAAAACAAGGAACTTTTAAAACAGTGGCGTGGTGTGCATGTTGCGATATATCAATTGATCTGTCGTATAAACTTGTGGAAAAGGATCGATAAACAGGGTGTCCGCAACAAACACCTTAATAATCGATTCTTTACCATAGCTTCAAATGGGGACTAATCGACTATCGATAATTCACGCCGCGGAACTGTTAATAAAACTGGTATTTACTATTTACACTCAGGTGCACAAGCAAAAAACACGGTTTCAACGACGTGAACCCCGGGTGCTCCGAGACTATTTGCCTCTCCTTTCGTGCTAATCGAGGGGGAAAAAATGTTCAGAAAGCTCCGATTCCAAATAAAAGTGTCTGAGCTTTGAACGCTCCATGATAAATTGAGAAATTATCTCTGGATTATTGGGGAACTCGCCTCGAAGTGTCTGGGTTCCGCTTGCCGGTGCACATAAATAACCGGGTGTCTTCTCTCCCGTAAGAGGTTAATTCTCATAAGTATAAGTAGGCGTATCCTGCCGTAGTGGGGAAAAAAACGCCGTATGAATTTTTAGGCGTTGCGAAATGTCGTCCGATGAAACATAAATTTTCTGACTAAAAAACCGGATTTTCCACTTGAATTCCTCACAGAATTTTTTATCATCATATAATCTGGTGCTTCTGAAAATTGTGCGGAAAAATATTCCTAAATACACTCGAAGATATTTATCTTATCGTAGGTAATCTAGCAACATTTGAACGTTCATACGGCATTCTTACGTGGAACGACTGTATATTGCTGTGGGGTCCAGATCGTGGATAAATGTACTAGATTGATTATGCTCCTATGGCACTATGAGAAGTGTTCAACTTATTCCCCTAAATTATGGCCGTTCTTGAGAGAAAAAGCTTTGCCTCGTGGAATCAGAACTATGTATTCGATAGAACAAATTTTGTCGAATTGGTTAAAAAAATCAGATGTTGAGATTACTGCTAAAGTTCTAATGTCTTGATGCATTGATATTTCTTCGTTCATAATGTTTCTTAATCCCTTCATGTTTTAATGTCTAGATCCCTTTAAATTTTTAATTCCTAATTTTTTAGAGGATATGTGAATATGTCAGTGTTAAATTCCACTATGAAAAACTTTACCCAGGGTCTATACATGTCAAATTGATAAAACTAATTTTTTTTTTTTTTTAAAAAAAAAAGGTTTTGAATTCATTTTATTTAATTCTAGTCATATGTTCAAAAATCGAGGAGAATTCTGTAAAATCCTTCCTTGAGATCTGCATAGCCGGATGTAAAAATATTGTAAAAAATTCGAGAACTTTTTTGCTCTAAAACAAAAATTATCTCATTCGGTCATATCATGGAAAAATATAATACGACTAAAATTACAAATTTTCTTCTTGACTTAAGAACTTCCGCCAGTAGTGTCAATTGCTTCCAGCATACGATTAAGAAAACACTTGCCGTTTTTCTCTATCACAGAACTTGTCTAGGGGCCCACAGTGCTTATTTCAAACTTTTTTCGAGCAAGCCTGCCTAACAACAATTTTGAATGTTTCCTTTAGAAGCAATGGTAGCTCGTAAAGTACCCATAAAATCATTACGGGAGTGAGTACTGTTCTTGCATTTGAAATCAGAATAAATTTTGATCTTACAGCACGGAAGTTTATGTTCGAACGGTATTAAGAGATTAAAAAATGTTTTGACGATTTAAAGAGACTTCCCCGCCCTCCTCGATGGTTGAAGTGCGATTGTCCTAGGCATGAGATCCAGGAAAACATAAACGTAGATTATTTTTTGAAATAATTAACAAACAAGAATGGGTGAGGTAAGTAACCGAGATCTCTGAATTGGATAAACGCCCGGAGCGTCACGCTATTTTCCGCTTGTAATTTTACGAGTGGAAGCGGCCATTTGAGAGGGACTAGGGTATTATAAAGAAAGTTTCTCCTTCCCTTGTCTCGACTCGCTTCGCACTGGCAAAGCCACCTGCTATCTTTTGGAAGCACTGGCGCGATAAAAAGTTTGAATCAGTGAACGCAAATCGTGGCGCGAGAATTCTAATAATATTGAACTTGCTGATCGTGTTTTTTTTGCATCAGAAATGAAAATGCGTCTCTCGACTGTATGGTCCAATGATTGAATTTGTTAGATATATAAATCGCTTTTGATTTGTAGAAAATCGAAGACAAAGGAAAAACACTGTACCATATTAACAAATGTTTATTTCTTATGTTTCATCAGCGGTTTATGGTAGTTAGACCCAGAAGATTCCTGGTAAAAAAGAATCGAGGACTTTTTCGGATATAAAAGGACGTATGAAGCTTGAAATGCTTTGATTGCTTATAACATTTGTGGCAGATGAAATTTATTCGCAGTCAATTTACTCTCCAACAAGGAATAAAGAAAAACGCGAAGCAGATCCAGGAAAAAACTCATAGCAGAAGTGTCGGATAAGTTACTTTCGACTAGAGAACTACGTTCCACAATCTTAGCATGATTAAAAGTATCATACGCCCGATTTCCAAAAGAATCCTCACTGTTGAAGGAAATTTTGTGACTTTGAAATCTATTTACTTTTTTTTTTTACTTGTCAGAAAACTCAGCTTTATGCAATTAAATTTCTTGAACACATACGCGCATTTACTGAACCTCGGCGTTGAACCTGAACCTAAACGTTGCTCAGGCGCAATCATACAACTATACGTACTCTCTGGAACGCGTGAGGTATCACGCCGCATTTGAAGGCGTTTTCAAAACTGCGGAGTCTGAGGGCGACGGGAGCTAGGAGTAGTTGGACCGCATTAAGCAGAAAGGAATCAAGCCACATCAAATATTGCCAACTTTAACAGAGCAATCTAATGTTTCACAAGAAAACGTTTTTGCGGGCATTTTTGAAAATTTTAAGGAATTTGCTTCGTACATGGTAGAAAATTCACTGACATTTGCATAAAATTCACACAACCGTTTCCGAGAAAAAAATCAAATGTCCAAGTTAAATTTGGCAATAGCTGACGAGGCTTAGTACCTTGCTGCTGAACATGGTCCATTTATTTATTTATTTTTTTTTTTTTTTTTTTTTTTTTTTTTTTTTTTTGTATAGTTCCTGGGAGAAAAATCGGCGAATCTTCTCGAAGATATGAATATTTAACTCCCGTATTCCATCGGGCGCGGCACAATGCAGAATCCGCGGGTTTCAACGCGGTCCAGTTGTTCATTATTGCGAAGCGCGGTCCAATCGTCGAGGGAAGTCATAATTTTCAAGACGATCGCTGAGCGCTTCATCGATTGCCGGCCCGGCTCACTTGTGGTCGCCGCCTGCGCCGCGAAATTAACTCGGAGCGGAGCGCTGTCCGCTTCGCGCATCAAGATGCAGCTGCAGTTATTCATATTGTTCCGGGCACCCGCGTCGGGGTTTCGTTGTTGGCCGCGGCCATGAATGACTTATGAATGCTGCCGTGCTAAGGAAAAACGCCGTATGAACCTTCAGGCGTTGCCAAATTTCCTTTGATAAAACACGAATTTCCTGGTAAATTTATGAATATTCTCCTCCCAATTTCTGAGATACTTTTGTTTGCAATTTCACCTAAAGATTCTGAAAATTTAAAGGAAAAATATTCACAACTTTGCTAAAAAATAAGCATTTTATCGAATTTAATTTGGCAACTCTTGAATGTTCATACGGCGTTCTTCCTTAGCACGGCAGAATGCGGGAACCCTCTCCCCCGAGCGTGAACGGCCGATTCCGCTTCTCACGCGGCTGAACTCCGGCGTGAAGTTCGTAAACAAGAAGAGTTTAGTCCCCGCCCTCCTCTCTTCGCGATGATGAATGTTGCAATTTACGATACGATAAGGAGCCACTCTTCCTTGCTTACTAATAAAAAAGAACATATCTGCATCGGAAAACTAAGGATGAATATGTTCTTTCTGAATGAAACCAGGAATAAAGGTTAGTCATTGCATAATGTAGCTCAGTGGACCACGCATGACAGGATATGAAATTAAGTTGCAATTTACGACATGGAACCACTTTTTCTTGCTTATTCATAAAAAACACCTATCTGCATGGGGGAACTATTGATAAATATGTTCTTCCTGAATGAAACCAGGAAGAAAGGTTCCTCTTTGCATATTGTGGTTCAATGGACCACACATGACAGGATATGAAATTAGGTTGCAATTTACGATAAGAAACCACTCTTTCTAGCTTACGAATAAAAACCACCTATCTGCCTAGGAAAATTGATGATGAAAATGTTGTCTTTAATGACTAAGTTGACCAGCTGAACTACGTTAATTATGATTTATTGCCGAGCGCGATTTTGAATTAACTATATTTATAATGTAAATTGGGAACGTTCGTTATGGTCGCACCCTCCCAGAAGATGGGTGCACAACTCGTCGCTCCTCTGACGCAAGGGCGTATCTCAATTTCCACATGAGCCCCAAAAAGCATGGATTTATAGGTGAAGCAAGGTTCACAAAGGAATCGAAATACGCCCTTATGTTAGAGGAGCGACGGACTGTTGCATTAACTCGTAAGATTAGTGATTCCATTAATCATGTTCCTCACGGCAGTTTTGAAAACGCCTTCAAATGTGGCGTGATACCTCACGCGTTCCGGAGAGTACGTATAGTTGTATCATTGCGCCTGACCAACATGACGGAAGAGCAACATTGAAGTGGCTTCACACTGGCCTTGTCGGCT